AGGCAGGAGAGAGAAATATGCAGGGCTGACAGGCAGAGAGAATAAATAGGAGAGAGAGGAGGGAGAAGAGGAAAGGAGAAGAGAGGACATCAGGGGCCAGCCACCCAGCTACGCAGCAAGCCACAGAGTAAGAAGTAAGGAAAGGTATATAGAAAGGTAAAAGCCCAGAGGCAAAAGATAGACAGGACAATTTAAGAAAATGTGGCTAGAAACAAGCCAAGCTAAGCCCAGTCCCTCATAAGTAAGAATAAAACTCCAGGTGTTTATCTGGGAACTGGGTGGCAGGCACCCAAACAGCCAAAGAATAGAAAAATACAAACTACATTTTGATGTATCATCATGAGGTTTGAATATCCACCTAGGGCCTGAGAAAGTGTGTGTATGGGGAAAGATAACAGAAAAAGGACATAGCTCCTTTAAGAGTTACTGCTGTTCAGCTCCAGAACTAAAAAGAAACAGCAAGCCAAGTAAAAATGCCTGTGGTAGCACAGATACCAGCTTCCTAGAGCTAGGAAGGTTGAATGTAGATCCTGGTCAACCACACATCCAGGTCAAGACACAAGCTTAATGCTTGGCTTTCATGACCCAAGAAGCTGGTGGAGGCAGCCACTAAAGCTGCAGTGGAGGTCCTAGCCACACTGCCTAGCAGTTTTTTGCTCATAGAGAAAAAAAATGGAGTTATTAAAGGTATATACCAGGGACAAGAAGAGAAAGATAGATATTTTGTGATCAGTAGGTCTGGTATAGGCTGATGCCTCATGCCAAGCAACTTTCATAAGTACAGCTTCTCATATACTATTTCAGGGGGATATGGGGCAGAGACAGCAAAAAGCTAATAAATCCTGCATATTTACTTTTTAAAAAAGCAGCTAGGGGTAGGGTACAACACAACTGTATTCTCTGTATCAAGCACACAGATACAGGAGTATCACTGTGAGGGTTAGACAAGCTTGGGTTATAAACAAGACCATTTCTCAAAAAAGCAAATGACAGCATGTGGGCAGGGATCCTCTACCACAGCTAAATGGGCCAGTGAAGCCATTCTTTGTCAGCCCATGACCACCTGCAATTCTAATTGAGAGGGATATGACTTGTTTTTCTGTCTTTCTTGGATACCAGCCATAAAGGTAGTATACAGACATCCTATCCTGACTGTTTTATGTCAATTTGACACAAGGTACAAAGAGTTATCAAAGAGGATGGAGCCTCAGTTGAAAAAATGCCT